TGTCTTTTTTTTTTTTAAATTTGATTTACTGACTTTTGTCACTTTCCTTCCCCATTGTGTCACAATGAACTTTTTTCTTTATTGTTAAATATGAAAGTCTATTAAGATGACAGACCAAACAGATCACTTTGAAAGCTTATTTTGTGATTCTAATAGTAAACAAGGCCTGCTGTACACTTGCCTGACATCAGTAGATGGCAGCATGTACTTTCCTGTGAAGGCATCGGTTGCAGGGGGACGCCATTTTACTTAAACAGCAGTTAAATTCAAAAGGAGAATCACACCAAAATGGTTGTCTTTTGGTGATCCCTCTGAGCAGATCTCTTTCCAGGTTCTTTGTCTTTTTTGTTTTTGTTGTTTGGTGTTTTGTGGTTTGTTGTCTTTTTTTATCATAAAACTTTGTTAACTGAATCCCACCAGTTGGAATTGGTCACAATTCAAAAAGTGGCTTGGGCTGAAGCTTATTTACTTTTGTTCAGTGTATAGAGAATACTTTGCTGAGTTTTCGTAGAAGACTAGAAACTGTTCAATAAGAATGTGGTTTTAAGTAGTGTTAAAATTATTTTTTTTCCAGACCCATTAAAGCAGGCATGAATAAGAAAGGTTACACTAAATGATATAAGAGATTTGATAGACAGTTTGAAAAATAATATAGTAACCTGAAAACTGTTGAACTGCTGGCATTGTATAAATATTGTTCATGTGTCTATTGTTCAAGTAAGACACATGTTCCAACCTTTATTTTAAATTACAGGCAATTTTAAAAAGAAAGGCTCCATTAGATTTCTATTTAACTCAACAGCCATTTACTGAATTTTCAGTATGTTCCATACACATATTGCATGAGACACTGAGAGGAGTCTAGAGACGATTATAGCTTATGTCATTTAGAAACATACTCTGGAAGGAGTTATCAAATAAATATTAGTATAGGATGTATTAAGTAAAGAGAAAGAGAGCAAGGATTAAAGTAAGAAAGGGAGAGGAAAAAAGAGTAGGGTGAGAGAGGGTACCATAGTAGTACACTGTAGGATAAAGTCTATGAACTTTATCCAAAGTGATCAGAGAATACTTCTTAGAAGAGGCACCATTTAAACTGAATTTTGAAGCAAAAATAAGGAACTTGCTATTAAAAAAAAGATTGGAAGGTCATTCTAAGCATGGATTATTACTATCATTTTAATTAATGCATTGTGATTTGTTTTAATTATTGTTGTTGTTGTTTTAGTTTTTTTAAAAAAACCATTTTCCAATAGAAATTCTGTAAGGATACTGTCAGTGGTTCTGGCACTTTAATTTTCATTATTAATTAAAAATAAATCAATTAATGCCTTTCACTCTCCTTCCCTTTTCTCAGGAAGCATCGTGAGTGTTGGTGACCCAAAGAAAAAATACACAAGATTTGAAAAAATTGGTCAAGGGTAAGTGATTGTTGTTACAAATAAGTGCTAGAAATTGAACACCAGCAACAGATATTAAAATTCAAATAACTGCTTGGATTTTTGGTAAACTATGTGTCTCATGAACTGAATTTGTGTTTTGAATATTGGCCTTCCTAGCTGGCAGGCTGAGTTGTAACTAATCTAGGAAGCATATCCTGCCAGAATCTTCTGTATTTTATAGGGACATTTTAATCCCTTATACTTAAAAGACTCAAACAGATTTTAATAGGAAAGCAGTGGGGCGGGGGAGGATATGGAAACCTACAAGGTATAAAAAATTACCTTTCTTTCTGTCCCTCTTTATTTGTAAGAACATTATGCTTAAGATCTTCTTTTATTATCAGACTGGAATGTGACAGAGTGAAGATGGGAAATGTTCATATTCAACGATCATGGTGGGCCAAATTGGCTAGCCACAGAAACAGATCAGTAATCCCTAAATGAGACTGAATACATCATATTCACCTAGAATCGTTAAAAAAAAAAATAAAGATTTTTCAGGGCACCACTGCCAGACATTTGCTTCAGTAGTTTGGAGTAGAGCCCAGGAATAGAAACTCTTAAAAAGTTCTTCAGAGAAACTAGATCATATCACTAGATCTGAAGGTGGGAGTCACCTTTTCTGCACGTCAGTTGATTTAGGCATTTCTCCCAGGCATTAATATGAAGCTTATGGAGGAGGAGGGCCTGGGTAAGCAACAACATTTGAGATGGAAATATTTTGTTAAAGAGAAATAGTGTCCTTAAGGGTACTAAATGGGTATTGAGACAAGGTATTCTGCTGTACCAATTATTCTTTGCCAGGAACAAAGATGTCACCCCTTGTGGTCATCTCACTGACATAAGAGGCTAGAGTAGAAAGGATAGATCTAAAGTACCCACAAAATTATGGTACTTATCACTCATTAGAGTCTAGTTATCTTTATTATTGTTGTTGTTAGATACTGTGGAGTCAGAACCAATCCATAGCTGACCCTCTGGCAGGTTTTCAGAGGCAGTTTATCACACAGGCTGAGATTGCCCAGCCTTCTCCTGTGGAGTAGCTGGTAGCCTTGAACTGTTTGCCTTTGGGATGTCAGTGTAGGTTCTTGCCACTGGGCCAGCAGAGCTCCTTCTCTAGTTATCTTAGGATAAGGGAATTTTAAGTTTTCTTCAAGCACCTTCTTACTTGTACTGTGATTGTTGTTGCTGTTATGTGCCCTCAAGTTGTGACTCATACGGACCCTATGTGCAACAACTCGGAACCCTGCTCTAGCTTGAGCCAATTTCATTGTCTCTGACACACTTACCCCCATTACCCCAGTCACTGAGTCAATCCCTCTCATTGA